AACTTTCTTGGTTCATTTCTTTCGTTCTTCCTTCATACTTTCTTTTTGTTCTTTTATTTGTATGTCTCTCTCTTTGGGGGTTATTTTCTCGTTTTTATTTATTTATTTATTTTTTTTTTTTAAGTGATTTTCAGACACCAAAGAGTATTCGCAACTTTCTTGGTCCATTTCTTTCGTTCTTCCTTCATGCTTTCTTTTGGTTCTTTTTGTTACGTCTCTTGTTGGTTATTTTCTCGTTTTTATTTATTTTTTTTATATTATTTTTTTAGGTGATTTTCAGACACCAAAGAGTATTCGCAACTTTCTTGGTCCATTTCTTTCGTTCTTCCTTCATGCTTTCTTTTGGTTCTGTCTTTGTTATGTCTCTTTCTTTGAGGGTTATTATTTTTTTTTTTGGGGGGGGGGGGATTTCGGCCTCCAAAGAGAGTATGCGCAACTTTCTTGTTTCATTTCTTTCGTTCTCCCTTCATGCTTCATTTGGTATGTCTCTTTGGGGTTTATTTTCTCTTGTTTTTTTATGTGTGTGTGTGTGTGTGTGTGTGTGTGTGTGTTGTTGTTAGGGATTATTGGCTACCAAAGAGTATTCGCAACTTTCTTGGTCCATTTCTTTCGTTCTTTCTTCATGCTTTCTTTTGGTTCTTTCTTTGTAATGCTTTCTTTGGGTTATTTTCTCGTTTTTATTCTTATTATTATTTTTTTTTCTTTTTGTTTTTTTGTTAGGGATTATTGGCTAACAAAGAGTATTCGCAACTTTCTTGGTTCATTTCTTTCGTTCTTCTTTCATGCTTTCTTTTGGTTCTGTCTTTGTTATGTCTCTTTCTTTGGGGGTTATTTCTCCTCTCTCTCTCTCTCTCTCTCTCTTTGAGAGGGGGGGGGGGTTGACCCAAAGAATATTTGCAACTTTGTTGGTCCATTTCTTTCGTTCTTCCGTCATTCTTTCTTTTGGTTCTGTCTTTGTTATGTCACTTTTTTTTTTTCGGCCAACAAAAAGTATTCGTAAATTTCTTGGTCCATTTCTTTCGTTCTGCCTTCATTCTTTCTTTTTTTTTTTGTTATATTTTTTTCTTTGTTATTTTGTTGTTGTTTTTTATGTGTTGTGTGATTTTCATGTCGTTCCTTTATTCTTTTCTGTTTTCATTCTTGTTGTTTGTTATCATTCTTTTGAAATTTCTAAATATATATATAATATATATATATATATATATATATATATATATATATATATATATATATATTATATATATATATATATATATATATATATATGATACATATATATAATATATAGTATTTATATATATATATATATAATATATATATATATATATATACATTCGCCATTTTTTTTGGGGGGGGTCCATTTCTTTAATTTATCATTCTTCGTTTGTTTGTTATCTTTCTTCAAACGTATGTTTATTATCATCATTTTCTGTACTTGTTGATTCCCATCCGTCAAAAATAATCGTGAAATTCTTGGTCCGTTTCTTTCGGATCATCTGTTTTATTATGATTTTCTAATATCAAAACTAGATGCAATATTCCTGGTCCGTTTTTGTTATTCTTTTCTTTTTTTCATTCCTATTTTGTTTATAATTATTTGATTTCTATTTATTTTATGTATGTTTTCTTATATTCTTTAGTTTATAGCTTTTATCCACCAAAGAATATTCGCAACTACTTCTTTCATTTTTTTTCTTTTTCTTTCAATCATTTAATGTATATATTGATAATTATCTTCGTATTTTGACATTTTTCAATTTGTAATGTGTTTCAATTTGTATTTGCATTTTGGATTTTTTTTCATTCTTTCTTTCTGTTTTATCTTCCTATTTTTAATGCATGTTGTTTATCATCTTTGTATTTTTTTTATAGTTTTCTGTTATAGAAAAATATTCGTAGTTTTCTGGATCCAGTTCTTTCAATTCTTTTTTTTTCTCTCTCTTATATTTCCATCTTTTAATGATTAACTTTGTATTTTAGTATTTTTCAGATGATTATGTTCATTCACTATTGAATATATCTGCAACTTTCTGGGTTCATTTCTTATTTTCTTTAAATTCTCCTTTTGTCTTATTTTTTCCCATCTCTTTCTATTTTATCTCTCTCTTTATCTCTTTATTTCTTACCTTCCTAACTCTTTATATTTCTTGATTATAATAATATTCGTAACATTCTTGGTCAATTTCTTTCTTTTTTCCCCTTTCTTCCTTGTTTTCTTCATTCCTTCTTGTTATCTTATTATCATTCTGTCGGTCATCATCAACAAAATCTATATTTCTTTCTTTCTGTTTTCTTTTTCTTTTTCTTCTTCGTCTTTCTTCTTCCCCTTTTGTAAGGCGTGTTGACTCTCCTCATACTTAGATATTGTATAATGACTTAAGGCACTTTTTATGTCTGTTTCTTTGTTCGCTTCTTTGTCCTTTTCTTCACTGAAGTGTTTGTTTTTAATTTTGGTATTGTATGGCCTTCGATAAAGTAATATGAGGTACTTATATGTAACGTAAGATTATTTTTGTGCTAAGTAATATTCCAAATTTTTGTTTTTTTTTTCTCTTTATTGCTGTCTTTCTTCTTTACAAAGTGTTTAGCTTATTGTTTTGTTATTTGGATAATTTGCAAATAATGATTTTAGATGGAATTTTACATCATGCAATACTTAACTCTCTCTCTTCTTCTCTCTTCTCTTCTCTTCTTCTCTTCTTCTCTTCTTCTTCTTCTTCTCTCTCTCTCTCTCTCTCTCTCTCTCTCTCTCTCTCTCTCTCTCTCTCTCTCTCTCTCTCTCTCTCTCTCTCTCTCTCTCTCTGTCTCTCTTCTCTCTATTTTGTGGTTATTTATGTTACTCTTGGGATAATACACAAATAGTGTGCCCTTTGATAGATTAATAGAAGGGCTTAAAACAAATAAATACACATAACAGTACTCGTGTTGTTTTATTAATTTCCTGTTAAATGTTTAATAGACATTGTTTATATACCTATAATCGCCTTCGGGAAGAAATTCTAGCCATGAATTTAATTTTATAGAAGATTAATTGGGAAAACAATGAAGAAAAACACTGAGACTAATTATGAGAACCGCTGTTATTAGAATTCCTTTTGGCTTTTATATTCAGATCTTAATCTTATTTGAAATTTTGTTTAATCCCATTTTTATCCCAAAGCTTCCATTTAAGATTCTTTATCAATTACAAGTTTTTTTGTGAATTAACATTAAATGAAATTATAAAGGATTTCATTTGTTATCATTCTTACGATCATCTCTTCAATGCAATTATCATCGTCATATTATTTTTCATTAATTTTGTAACTGTAGTAATTATCATTTTATAATTTTCCAATAAAATAAGGTCATTAACAATGTATATTACACATTATTACTTCAGTGCTGATGTGTTTAGCGGATATTAGGATTTCAATATCTGTTTTGACGACAAACGCTTTGACAAAACACATTTAGCATAAAATATGATATTTTCAAAATATTGCAATATGTAATGCATGATTTATGATGAATATATGATGCGTCAGTGCAGAGAATATACTGTGATGAAATATGACATGATATGATTAATGTTACAATTAGAATACAATGAGGCTAATATTAGAATAATTCATTCTATCTCCCTGTTATACCCCATATCCCTCTGTTTTTCCTTTTCCTCCTTCTCCTCCTCACCCATTCCTTCTCTTCCTTCGCCTTTGCCTCTTTCCTACGTCCTCCCTCATCTTTCTCTTTCTCTTCATTAATTTTGTTCACTTTCCAACTTCAATTCCTCCCTCATTTTCTGTATTTTTCTGTCTTTTTACATTTAGTCATCTTATCTGTATATCTACTTTTATTTGCCTCTCTTTCTCTCTCTCTTTATCTGTCTGTCTCGTCTTCTCTCTCTCTTCTCTCTCTCTCTCTCTCCTCTCTCTCTCTCTCTCTCTCTCTCTCTCTCTCTCTCTCTCTCTCTCTCCTCTCTCTCTCTCCTCTCTCCTCTCTCTCTGTCTCTCCTCTCTCTCTTCTCTCTCTCTCTCTTCTCTTATCTCTTCCTCCTTCCCTCTCATCTGTCTCTCTTCTCTCTCTCTCTCTCTCTCTCTCTCTCTCTTCTCTCTCTCTCTTCTCTCTCTCTCTCTCTCTCTCTCTCTCTTCTCTCTCTCTCTCTCTCTCTCTGTCTCTCTCTTCTCCTCTCTCTCTCTCTCTCTCTCTTCTCTCTTCTCTCTCTCTCTCCTCTCTCTCTCTCTCTCTCTTCTTTCTTCTATTATCTATCTCTATCTCTCTCTCTCTCTCTCTCTCTCTCTCTCTCTCTCTCTCTCTCTCTCTCTCTCTCTCTCTCTCTCTCTCTCTCTCTCTCTCTCTTCTCTCTCCTCTCTCTCTCTCTCTCTCTCTCTCTCTTCTCTCTCTCTCTCTCTCTCTCTCTCTCTCTCTCTTCCTCTCTCTGTCCTTCTCTTCCTCTCTCTCTCTCTCTACTCTCTCTTCTCTCTCTCTCTCTCTCTCTCTCTCTCTCTCTCTCTCTCTCTCTCTCTCTCTCTCTCTCTCTCTCGCTTTCTACTCTTCTCTCTCTGTCTATCTCCCCCCTTCCCATTTTTACCTCTTTCTTACTCTTATTATAAACCCTTATTTTAGACTCGGCAATTTATCTCCGCACTTTGCTCTTCATTAACCACTTTTGAGATGGAGGAAATTTATGGTATGTAAAAGGTAAGATACGATTTCGCTCATTTTCCTTTCTTTATTCCTGCTCTCTTTCTCTCTCAGTCTTTCTGTCTGCCTCTCTTTCTGTTTTTTTTCCTCTCTCTTTCTTTTCTGTCGCTTCTCTCTTCTTCTCTCCTCTCTCTCTCTCTCTCTCTCTCTCTCTCTCTCTCTCTCTTCTCTCTCTCTCTCTNAAAGGAGGAGGAGAAAACAAAGAAAAAATTTGATGTGACAGTAAGAAAGAAAGAAAAAAAAATGAAGAAGAAGGAAGCATATATATATATATATAATATATATATATATATATATATATATAGAGAGAGAGAGAGAGAGAGAGAGAGAGAGAGAGAGAGAGAGAGAGAAGAGAGAGAGAGAGAGAGAGAGAGAGAGAGAAATCGAACCGAAAGTGATAATTTGACTAAGAGGATCTGACCAAAAGCTGACAGCGGCTGACAGCAAGAACCAAATTACAGAGCCACATTTGGTTGTTAAAAAATAGATAAATAAAAACAGATTACGGCAAGAACTAGAGGGCTGAGCCACGTATGGTTGTTAAAAAGAGTCTGATGAAGGACTGACCACATTTGGTTGTTAAAAGAGACATGCGGGACTGGCCACGTATGGGTGTCTCATAAACAGGCAGATGCAGGACTGGCCAAATAGGGTTGTTTAAAAAGACAGGTTAAGAACTGGTCACATAGAGTTGTTAAAAAAAGGCAGAGGGACTGGCCACATAGGGTCATTAGAGAAAAAAACATGTAGGCGAGAACCAAAGAGCTGAGTCACAGAAGGTTCTTTAAAAAGGGCAGCTGGCGACAAGAACCACAGGCAACGGCGGCAGGAATCGCAATTTCCAGGCGTCAGCTAGAAGCACTGAAGTCATTTGATTGAAGTAATCAGAGAGCAGTTTCCCCGCTGACGTCAAGATCGTGGACGTCAGCAGAGAAGGTGAAGTGAGTAGGGGATCTGAAGCGTAATATAATATATTGAAAATAATGTAATAATGGAATTAGGCGCATCTGAAGTGCTGTGTCAAATATTGGGTTAATTCTGTAGGATTAGATTTTACGTCTTCTGGAAAAAAGTGTCTTAAAAGTGGAAAATATTAAACAATTTGAAATCGAATTCTGCGAGAATAAACGTCAACGTCTTAACAATATGGATGTACCTTTACTAAATAGAGCACTCCATGCCAACTCAAACGATACCTAAGATACAGATGCAAACAGAACCACCCTTTGAGAAATTCCGTTCCTGCCTGCAATGAAATCTGTACATCCATCGCAACGGAAGGTTTATCTCATCAACGTCCATTTGGCTAAAGTTCCCTCCTTACTTCTTCTTTTTGAAACTGGGAAAGCTAACAGCTCCGCCATCCGAGTCCTCGCTGTCGGTGCCCGGGAGGTCGGGGGGCTGGTCCTGTCCCCGCTGGAAGACGGGTTCCTCCGTGTCCTCGTCCCCCTCGAAGGCCTCGTTCGTGAAGTAAGTGACGGCGTGTAAATCTGTCAAGAATTCTGAAAAAAAAAGGAGAAGGAGAGAGGAAGCGAGGCGGTTAGGGTGGATGTGACGGTTATGACCGTTTCAAAATGGGATTCGTAACTTTGAAATCGTTCTTTTTTTAATTTGTGTTTGTTATTGTTGTTGTGTGTATTCTTTGGTCCTTCCTCTTTCTCTCCTTCTTTCTCTCTCTCTTCTCTCTCTCTCTCTCTTC